GGAACCGTAATGGACTCTCTCGCGCTCCGTAGTCGAGGCTTCTGCCCCTAACAAAGATGGCCGCCTACCCGGTCCTACTCCGCCCTTTGGCTAGTATCAAATACCAGACTATCTTTCACTTTCGGGTCACTGTAACGGGAGATGGCGCCGATTCCGATTAAGCTAGGTAAGCAAGTGAGACAAGAAAGGAGCGGGTCCAGGAGGGCAGGGGCAGCCCCGGTTGGTTCTGTTTTCCGTAGGATTTTGTGCTTCAGGAGGTAGACAGAGGGTTCCGGCCCATCTTTCCCGAGGACCCTGACGCGCCGCCGTCTTCCTTTACTATAGACTGTCCTCTGCGGTCTGGCTGCCCGCTGGGGGTCGCTGCTGTCCCTAGACTCTGCCAGGAATTCGGTCCTGAGGACTACGGCGATGAGGTAAAAAGGACCCCTAGCTCCCCTCTGCCCTGATTGTCACGGTCACGCCTCTCTTCAACCTTCTGTGCTGAGCCCCGCCCCGGGCTGGCATCGCGCGGGGCTCCCCGCAGGCTTTGCAGGGATAGGGCTTGGACCCTATCGTGTAGCAGCGTCGCGCAAGTGGAGGGCGAGGTGGGGGTGAAGGGGACTGGGGACGACTCAGCCGTGACAACTTCTTGATGTGTGCTGGATCGGGCAGACGAGGATCTCTGAATTGAGAACTGGGGAGTGGACAGGAGTTCCTTGGAGAAAAATATGACCAGAGGGAACAGTGTGAGCAAGACACTAAGGCAAGGAAAAGTTAAGAGAACAAGACTGAAGTGAGACCTTTCTTATGGGTTTGGTTAGAAACGTTAGAGATGAGGCGGGAAAGAAGGCAGCAGGTGGCTTGAAAGGCCTTGTCTGGCACATGGGTTTGAATGTCCTCAAGTAAGTAGGTGATAGGGTTATTGAGGGAGGGACAGGATCAGATTTGGGAGCATTAATAAGCTATACTTCCTCATGTGCTTCCTCGTTATCCTTAAAACCAAACGACAAGTCTAGAGGTTAACTCATCATCTTTGCAGATTGGTTGCTTTTCCTCTAATCTTTAATTAATCTCTAATATTTTAATTTATTATTTTTATTTTTAACTTTTATTTTTATTTATTTTTGGAGTTACTGGGGATTGAACCCAGGACCTCCTGCACTCTACCACTGAGCTATACCCAGCCCCCCTCCTCTAATCTTAATCTTGGTTAATAACACAAACTTCCATCCAGTTGCTTAATCCAGAAATCTGAGAATCATTCTACATAATCCTCCCTTTGTCTTTACTTCACACATATAGTCAGTCCCTAAAAATCTACTTCTGAAATGTCTCTTGAATCAAGCCAATTACTTCCATGTCTGCTTCTGCTCCCACTACCTTAGTTGAAGAACGCAATTCTTTCTGGCCTGAACAGTTCTAATGGCCTGCTAATTAAACATTTCACACCTAGACTCATCTCTTTTCCCAGTACTGTTTTATCTGAGCATTTCACTCCCCAGACCAGCTCCACTCCCATCACTAACAGGAGGAACTCACACTGGCTCCACAGGGTTCTTAAGGCACAGCTCCCGACTGTATCTCTGTTACAGTAGCTCCTCACCAATCTCCCTGCTTTTGCTCATTTGGGACACACTTATTGAGCACTAGCTATGTACTGAACACTGTTTCAGGCCCTGGAAAGAAAGCAGTGAACCAAACAAAAATCCCTCTGTTCAATTAGAAGTGTCTAGTGGGAGCAGCCAATCAATAAATAAATGACACAGGATGTCAAATATGAGAAACGTAAATAAAGCAAGGAGGAGGATAGGGAGCTTTGAGTTGAACCGAGAGGTTTTCTTTTTAAAGGGAGTGGTCAGAGAAGGCCTCCCTCTGAAGGTTTAAGCAGAGATCTGAAGGGGCTGAGGGAGTGAGCCATTCCTGGGGGAAAGAGCATTCCAGACAGAGGAAGAGACAAGTACACAAGCCCTGAAATGGGAGCACACTTGGTGCATTGCAAGAGCTTCAAAGGAGACCACTGCATTGCAGCTGGAGGAGGGCAAGAGGGCGGGCGATGATTTCATGAAGGTGTTGGGTGGTCAGATCATGTATGGGCAGGTAAGAGAGAGCAGCGTAGATGGTGTCTTGGAGAGAGGTAGAAGGTCAAGGCAGCCCTCTTTTTTTTGTTTTAAAGATGGACTACACTAAGGGAACAATCCTTATTAGAACCACAGAATGTACAGGCCACACCATGGGGAATCTTGCTTCATTTTTGTGAATGAGGAAGCTGAGGTCCAGAGAGGTTAAATGATTTGTCCAAAATCAAACAGCCAGGCAGTGGCATAGCCAGAACTAAGGTGGAAGCAGCCCTGCTCCAGCACAGTGTTCTCTCCAGTCCCATGCCAACTCCCCAGTGAAGAGAGCAATAAAAAGCAATGAATAATAAGGTTTCAAAGTGTATAACACAGACTGTGTCTGTGCAGTGTGGTCAAGTGAGGGTAGAGATCACTGGAGATGAAAGGGTCTGGGAAGGCTTTGAGGGGAGATGGAATGTGAACTTGATCATGAACGTGAGGCAAGTTGTGGTGAGAAAGAAGCTCAGAGCTAGGAGGGATTCAAGGACAGCTCGGGGGAGACCCCAAGGCTGGCAGGGGGCCTGGTGGCAGCTAAGTAGGGGAGGATTGCAAGAGAAGACCGGAAAGTCAGACACAGGGAGCTTTTGGGAAGGCTCCGAATCCCAGGCTAGATTCAATCCTGCCTGAAGTCTTGACAGTGGGGGATTACTGGAAAATTTTGAGTTGGGGAGTAATTGCTGAGAGCTTAGTTTTGGGGAGAAACAGATGAAGTGCAGGGGAGAGGCCAGCCAGGAACTGTGGCACTCACTTGTATGGGGGGTGTTCACACTCAAGGAGATGGCAGGGGACACAGCTGGAAGAGCAGGTAAGAGGGCTCCATTTCAGGGGCATCAGTGTGGCTGACCTAGTGACAGGTCAGGGAGAGGAGATGGTGACCTAGCAGCCGGGTGGCGGAGAAGGCTGGACTGAATGCCACCCTCAGTCCTTGCGAAGATGGGGGAGTAGTGAAGGGAGGTGATACACCATGAAACCGGGAGCGGCGTGTTTGGAGGCACCAAGCAGGGAGAGGTCGGCCAGTTAAGGTTCTCGGGCTGAGTGGCTGGCTTGTGGTTGCCACGGCAGAGGAGTCAACCCCGCCAAGCCCCTTGCTCTCTCCCAGAGCTCCCCCCAACACCAGCCTCCCCTCCCCTTCCCCTCCCAGGACATAGTGGATTTTCTTCGACGGCTTGTGGAGAGTGATCCCCAGGGCCTGCACCAGATTCGGATCCATATGGATGGGAGCAGCAGGCGGCTGCAGCTGTGGCACCATGGTGGGGAGTGCAGGGGCCGGGCCCAGGGATTGAGGCTGGTGCCCTAGGGAGGGCTGGCCCACGGGTGCTCCTCTCTCTCAGCTTCTTCCTTCTTTCCCTTCTTTCTCCCTCTTGACAGATGACCTCCTGGACCGTTTCTGTTATGAGGGGAAAACGACTGGACAGAGTGACAAGGAAGGCAAGGAGGCTGAGAGACTGGGCACTTACTGTGGTCTCCAGAAGTCCTTCCTGGACCCTCCACGAGGATCTAAGCCCTCCCCTCAAAGCCCTTCTGCCTCGGCATCCTTCCCCAGTGACTCAGACAGCCTGCTCCAGGTGGCCATGCCTCAAAAGCTCCTGCTGACTGAAGAGGTGAGACTCAGCCGCACCTTCCCCCCACCCCCAAGCTCTCCCAGTCCCCATGTCCCATGTCTACATTCTCCCCTATTCTGGATCTCTCAAGGTCCTTTCATACTACTTGCCTCCTTCTTGCTTTCTCTCATTCTCTCTCTCTTTTCTGGCCACCTGCCCTTCCTCCTCCAGGAAGCCAACCGCCTGGCTGAGGAGCTGGTGGCTGAGGAAGAGCGCGTGAAACAGAAAGCAGAGAAGAAACGACTCAAGAAGAAGGTAGCTGGAGGGTAGACGGAGGGGGGGCCCAGAGGGATTTAGGGGAGGGAGGGAGGGAAGCTTTGTGAACAGGAAAAGAACTCAGGATGGCCAGGGGACCCACAGGGCTTGGGGACTGGAGGGTCTCCAGGAGGCCATTGGGTGCAATCGCTCTGAAGTCACACTGTGATACCTGGGTTGGAATCTGCCTCCTTCTTACTGTGAGCCCTTTGCCTGGTGACTCTCTTGTCTGCTTTTTCACCTGTAAAGCGAGAATGACAACAAAACCGACCTCGTAGAGTTGTGAGGGTTAAATGAGATAGTGAATGCAGAACTCTTAGCCTGGGGCTATGGCACATGGTATATATCGTACACGGAAAGAATTGGTCTCAAGATACGAACTACGTGTGTGTGTATTTAAGTCTAATGCTCAAAATACATCTTCCTCTTCCTCGTCATTCTTATTGCAGCGTCAAAAGGATCGAAAGCGAAAGGGGCGCTTGGAGCAGGATGGCGGGGAGCCCAACGTGAATGTCTACAGGCAGGTACTGAGACCACCAAGTGCCAGGAGGTGGGGGCTGAAAAAGCAGGTGGCTCAAGGTGATCCCTGCTCCTCGCCTGTTCACCTTCCCTCCAGGCTGAGGCTACCCCAGATGGGGATGGGAGCCCCCCGCCCAGCTCCGGGAACCCAGCTCAGGGAGAGTGTGGTGAGGATGAGGTGAAGAGCCCCCTTCTGTCCCTTCACGGTCCCTCCCCTTCCACCACTCTGGGACATACCCCAC